TAAGCAATGTCAGATCAGGTATAAAATAATATAGGAGATAGTGCTATTAAACTTGTGGAAACAAAGGACACATGACAGATGCAGAATATCCAGATGTACATCTCTGTTAGGAAGACGTAATTTGCAAGGATCTTTCTAACATGGTATTGTAAAATTTATTCCAGGTGCTGTCAGTGGCATGGGAAGGTGGTCACAAACAGATGGTTCTCTTCTTATGGTCACAGGCATTAAGAGAGATATAAGTCAAGGTGAACTATAGGTTGACATGACAAAGCTGTGCTGTTAAGATCGTAAAAATTATTCAAGTGTATATGTTTTACACAGTGGTCCTTGTTGTGACTACTGTATAGATACACAGTATGCATCTAAATCTTACTGCACTGCAGAAAGCATTAACTCATAGAATCCCAGAATGGTTTGTGTTGGAAGAGACCTTAAAGCTCATCCGGTCCCAACCCCGGCCACGGGCAGGGACACCTTCCACTAGAGCAGGTTGCTCCAAGCCCTGTCCAGCTTGGCTTTGAACACTGCCAGGGATGGGGCAGCCACAACTGAAGTAAGCTCTTGCATTCCACATTCCTTTCACTCCTGTTCCTGATCAGTTTAAGTCTGAGGAATGAACTTTCCATGCAGAGAGATGGACCTTTCCAAGGGTGTCCTGTCAGTGTGTCTGTATCCAACCAGCTGAGCCCAAGTTTTGGTAGATTCTGAGAAACCAGTATGACTACAGATCCAAAAGTGATGGAATCATAATGAAGTCAAAGAGATGGATGTTGATCAAAAAGCATTTGCTATGGCAATAGAAACTTACATAGCTTTTGAGTGAAGCACTGCCAGAGTTAGATTTATGTAGAATAGTCTGTAGTCCAATGATAAATGCATCATGAAATAAAAAAATACCAGGCTGGAAAAAGGTAGGAAAAGTATTTCAGTGCAGTTGTGATGCCAGGTCCTACTGATCATGCTTACATTACAAACCCATGAAGTATTCTGGTACAGAAACAGCATTAAATATGAGCATTGTTCAGAAGATGCTCACTTAAAATGGTGCCATTTTGTGTCACCGTGCAAAACGGCCTGTATCACTAGTGTGGCTACTGAAACTTCCTATGTATCTTATGGAAACCAGTGTAATGGGTGTTCTTGTCCAGGTGTAACGTAGCTGGTGTATTTGTTAAAACATGCTACTGTTATAAAATGAGGTAGAATTAAACCCAATGTGAATTAGAAATGTGTCAGGGGATTACAAAAGGGATTTTTAGATTAGAATTAGTGTAATACAGACAAGATTTCTGTGAAAAGAGCTGGGAACAGAACCAAGGTTTCCTCTTTTTATCTCTGTTCTATATAAAGAACTCATATGTAGAGATTATAATTGCTGGGGTGAGCAGATGCCAAATATAATGATTCCACCCACATTTGTCTTTCTTAACTTCTAACATTCCTCCTGTGGGAGCACAACAGGAAAATCAGGAGCTTGATCACTTTCACACTTTTGTAGGTTCTTTCATGATATGGTATAATAAATCTGTCGATGGGATCAGGCTTTTTACTCTGAGTGGGGACAAAAGATGGATGTGCATGTGCAAAATGCCTGCAGTACCAAAAATAGAGGCCATATTTTTTCCTGTCATAACTTGACTTGAGTTGGTGGAGCTGTGCCAAGGCTGAATGTGACCACAGTCTATAGGACAGCTGCCTGCCTGGCTGCAATGAAGTTTGATGAGAAGGATTTTGCAGGAACGATTAAGCCTTCTGATAGTGACAGAGCCTGGTGACATTTTAGGAATATCCATCTCAGATTAAAATGATTCTCTGGGAGATTTCAGCTACATCTGTGATGCCTGAAAGGCAAGGATAGCATTAATGAAGATGTTTTCAAGCATTGAGTTGAGTTCTGTCAGCAGTTCTGAATCACCAGACCAATTAATAAGGTGTTCTAATTGATATAATAATTCTACAGAGTTTTTCCACTTATACTAATGTAACATTTGGCTATGCTGAGGACAAATAATAACCACAAGTTGAAAGGAAGGTCTGATTCTTTGATCCTTTGCTACATTTCATAAAGCTTTTAATTTTACTTGCAATACACATGTGCAATATCCATACAGGCATTTTCTTTCCACTTGATTCTAAAGACCCTGTTCAGTTGTTAATTGATAGTATCTGAGCAATGAAGGCAGCTTCAATAGTTTTACTGTTCCAGAAACATCCATCTCATTCATAAAGATCATCTGTTCAAGAGCAGTCAACCCTGGGGTTTGTTCTGTTTACTGGCTTTGTTTTGGGCAATGTGCTGACTTCCCTACAAGCTCTTGAGCTACAAAGTATTCAAATAGTTTCCACTGGTGTGTTAAGGTCTGCAGCTCGCATGAGTCTGCTCAATCCACTTTTGAAAATACTAAGCCAGTTCTGGGAGTCTTGGCACTTGAGATGGTGCTCCATGGCGCTAAGTAGCCACAGCTTGAATCCTGAGCAATGGCATCTCTGGAGCTTAAAACTCAGTCGTATAAGCCAAATCACCAGGGTTTTTTGTGTGTGGTTTTCTTCTTTTAATAACAGGGGAGTCAAGTGCTTGTTTATAGCATTTTTCTCTCCATATTCCCCCATTTGGGGAGTGAGTGGAAGCTCACAGGACTACAGGCGGATAAGGGGGAATGTTGTGATTACTCAGGCAAAGATACTCATCAAACAACAAGGGAACATTCCCCTACTTACTGGCTTGCCTGACTTTTGTGGCAGGAAGAAATGAAGCTCTTGCTTTTTTTTTTTTAGATAATTTGCCTGCTTTTTAACTGACTCCTCTTACAGCTTAGATAGGGATTTGGGTGATTCAAAACAGGGGAAGGGAAAACTAGTGGGGCTTTTCAAAAAAGATAAGGAAGATAGGTTCCCACATCCCATCCAAAGTCCAAGAGAAATCATTTCTTTTTAAAGTCCCAGCCCTAAAACCACATAAAATATGGGTTTTCTTATTACTGTTTAAAAACAAGCTAGTTGTTTCCAAAGATAGACCAAAATTGATGTTGCCCATCTTTGCAGATATAACCTGTAACATGATGTGTGAACAGTTTATGGACTGATGGTGTGGCTGCACTGCCACTGGATACATTGATGTGCATTTCAGTGGCATTATGCTGTAGTGCTTGCATATATAAAGGAAAATATGCTTTATATACATATATGTACATTAAAAATCATGATTATTAGATGACAATGGATTATGAATGCAAACTCTTTTCTTAAATAGCCTTTTTTTACTAAATCCTCAAGAGAAGCAGTAATTCTAGGCTGTTCTTCAAACATGTTACCAAAAATTCATGTTAAGCCTTGGTAAAGAAGGGGCCCATATTACTGATTTGGCAAATCAACTGTTAGGAGCATGGATTGAGTGTAATCAGAAGTCATCATTTTCAGTAGGCAGGACTGCACACCAAGAAATAGAGTAGTTTCCTCTAGCTGTGGAATATTCAATCCACCATCATCAAAGGATCAGATTCAACAATTGTTAAAGGAACAATGAAATGGGTCTTCTTTTCTCAAATTAACTTGGTGTCTGTTTTGGTGTCCTATAACCCAGCCAGTTTTCCGAGATGAAAACACAACAACAAAACCTGGCAAGTTTTGAACATCTCGGATTGGTAGCCTGAACCTCATAAAACGTGTAAGTGAAGAGCAGAACATAAAGCTGTCAATTTGATTTCCTAATAGCTCTTAAACCTTACCAGATTTTATTACAGACCTAAAATTAGCCTTGTTTTCAGACCTGGAGCTTTTTCAAGTTTTTCATACTTCAAGCCTTTCAGCTAGCAAGTCTGAGTTTTCAGCACCCAGCAATGGAAACAGTACTGGAGCATCTGACACGTTTCTGCTTCCATAACTAGCAGACCTTTATAGGGTAAATCAGACTTTCTTCATCGAGCTGGTGGGCTTTGACATTTCCTATATAGCTGTGTTTAAGCTGACAACTGTGCATGGTGTTATGACTGGGGCGTAAAACACTAGAAGATGGAGCAGCTCTGCTCTGGAGACAGGCTGAGAGAGCTCGGCTTATTCAGCCTGGAGAAGGCTCTGGGGAGACCTTAGAGCAGCTTCCAGTGCCTAAAGGGGCTACAATAAACCTGGAGAGGGGCTTTGGAAAAGGGTCTGTAGGGATAGGACAAGTGGGAATGGCTTTAAACTGACAGGGGAGATTGAGATGAGATTTTAGGCAGAAGTTCTCCCCTGTGAGGATGGTGAGGTCCTGCTCATCCAGTTGCAACACCTTCCACTAGACCAGGTTGCTCCAAGCCCCATCCAACACTGCCAGGGATGGGGCAGCCACAGCTTCTCTGGGCAACCTGTGCCAGCGCCTCAGCACCCTCACAGGGAAGAACTTCTGCCTAAGATCTCATCTCAGTCTCCCCTCTGGCAGGTTAAAGCCATTCCCCCTTGTCCTGTCCCTACAGGCCGTTCTAAGAAGCCCCTCTCCAGCTTTCTTTCTCAGCCCTTTTGGGTACTGGAAGGCTGCTATAAATGCACTTCTCCATGTCTCCTGCTGGCTTTGTGAATATTATTCCAAGGCACTCTCCCCTCTCTGTATGTAAAGTGAGAAGCCTGTGTGGTAACACAAAGCCTTTGGCTGTAATTACGGGCTACCTGAAAATTGGGCATTGTGGCACTGCATATTCCCGTGCTAAGACCCCCTTTGCAAGTCCGGGGTCTATCCATGCGGATAATCCTCTGCCGTCCAGACCAGTGCTCTGTGGGCAGAAGAAGGGATATGTGTAGCTCTGAAATGTGGAATGCCTGGCAGGGATGGGAAATCCGGGGGCTCTAACGGATCATGGCCTCTGCCGAGCGGCGTAAGGAGGAACCGGTGACACGGAGGGAAAGCTTCCGAGAGGCAAGTGTTGCTCTAATAGGCTGGATTACTCACTGCGCTTGTTCAGATTCCTGTTAATGCTGGCAGCGGGAGTTTTCCCGAACACCAACGAACAATGAGTCATTCCCAGGTGTTTGGATTTGAAAAAGCTTTAGATTTTTATTTCAATTTCAAAAAGAAACCGGCACAGCCCCCGCCACCCGCTTTGCCGTCGCGTTCCCTGGGAGCTGAAGCCACTCCTCCCCTGCGCAGCGAGGGATTGATTCCATTCCTTCACTTCGCTTTGGATTTATTCTTTCCCTGCCTGCCCCGAGCAGGCAGGACCAATCCGGGGGCTTCCCTCACTGTTCCAGCGCCTTTTCCCTCCCCTCTCCGGGTAGGAACCCGCTCTACTGCAGGAGGGAAAATGAGGTGGTGGCTGCTGCTCTCCCTTCCGTCTGCTAGCTGAATGAGTTTTATTAGGTTTGCTTCGTTACGTTTTCCCTCCAGGTTTTCTGCTCGGCACTGGGGGAGCCAGGAAATTCTGTGGCCACTGGCTGGTTTTTATTTAAAATCTTAGCTGGCAGTGAACGTTTCTCCTCCTGCTCCAGCGTTGTCCTGTTCACAGCTTTTAAGGCTTAAGAAGCTTGATTCTGTAAGGCTTGTATCCAAGGGCATCAGTCATTAACACGCTGAGCTACATCTGCTTCTTGGCTAAGGCTGAAGAGAGACATCTTAAGCTGGAAATCCTGCTTGCTCACTCGCTCGCTCTTTAGTGCGGACAGAAGGAGAAGCATATGCAGGAGCAAGTTCCTTTTTCTTATGATGATGATTATTATTATTCCAAAAGGCTGCCTCACTTTGGAGATGCACTGACAAGATAATGGAGTGAAAGTCTCCTGTTTCCAGGGAAGAAAATTACGGCAATCAGCCAAAGAAAGGAAAAAGAGCAAGTTAAATACCAGCAGAAATAGGAAGGAGGACAGTGGTGAAGAGCTGAAAATAAAATTAGAGGAAACAGGTGGAAGGCTGGCATAAAGCTGGGAGGGATTTTAGGCTCGAGTGTTTTCCCTTTGCACCCCCATCCCTCCCGTTTTTTTCTGTTTGGTTGGGTTTTTTTTGGTTTTGTGGTTTTTTTTTGTTGTTGTTGTTGTTTTTTTTTCATTTTTGTTTGTTTTTTTTTGGTAGGTTTTATTGCTGCTTTTAAATTCTAAGCTGGTTTTGGAGATCCCTGCAGAAAAGCAGGCTGCTTTAGTGTAGAGCAGCTTCCACAGCGTGTCCTTTTCTCTTTCCCTGCCTGCTGCCCCTGCTGTTGCTGCTGCTGCTGACAGAAACGTGTTAGGAAAGCAGAAAGAGAAAATGCCAGCCATCCTGGTAGCCTCCAAAATGAAATCAGGACTACCTAAACCCGTCCACAGCGCTGCTCCAATCCTGCATGTCCCAACAGCCAGGACCATTCCACAACCCTGTTACCTGAAGTTTGGGAGCAAGGTGGAGGTGACGAAGCCACTGTATTCCAGCCAGATTCCTCTCAAATCTTCAAATGGACAAGAAAACGGAGGAGATGGACTCCCACCAAGGAAGAGTGGCTCTGTAGAAAATGGATTTGACACACAGGTTAGGAGGCACCTGGTGTTGGGGTTGGTGTACACAGGGATTTGTTTCTATACTGAATGTGTGCACCAGGTTTTCAGAGGTGGATAGCAGTGGTGTTAGCAGTGAGAGTGTGTATGCAATAACATCTGTCTGCAGTGGTAGGATGGTTTATATTCTGCATAGTGGCATGTGTTATCCAGGAATGGTTTTGTAATTCTGTCAGCATATGGTGGAGCTGCTGGTGGGCTGGTGGAGGGCTGGTGCAGTGTGTGCTGTTTGCCCGCATGTTGCCTTCCCTCCTGCCTTTGCTTGGACTTTGGGGGGGGGGGGGGGGGGGGTATGGAAAGGAGATGGTAGAGATGTTGTTTATGGGGTGGGTGTTCTTTGTGTTCTTTCTATAGGTGCTGAGTGTAACAGCTGGGTTGGGAATGGATTGCTGGTTGTCAGGAATGTGCTTTGTGTTTGGTTATGTACTGTACCAGAGCATTAGTTGTGTGAACATTAAGTATTTGTAGTTGTGTGAGGAGTGAATGGGAGGCAGTGTTTGAGCTGAAATTACCATATGCATGTCATTCTCAGTGCAGCTAGATCAAATAGATTATGTAGGGAATGAACATTGGAGTGGAATTGTCTGGTTTAATGCCACATGCATGACATCATAGATGCCGCCCATTATCAGTAAGCATCTTTTAGATTTCCCTTTCATGTGTATCAGTTTTCTGACATATTTTTAGAGATGCTGCTTTCTGTATCGGGGGGAGGAAGGTACGTTCTTCAGCTCATTGGATTTTTATCAGCACAGTGACACTTCTAGCATAGCTCACATTGCCTAGTGCTGCTGATGCCCCGGTGTGCTCACCAGTAGTGTAAGCACACAGTAGGTGTTCGCCTACTACAGGGTGGGCAAAGCAGATGGGCTGCTGCAGCAAGCAGAATTGATTAACGTTACACGGATATTGCAGTGGAGCAGCATGGTGTATTTTGGCAACAGTCATATCCATGACAAGATCTGAGCCCAGGAGAAGGTGATACCATTACACTGGGGTAGGGAAATGATGACAGATACCTTTATTTTTTTTTATCTTTTCCTTCCTCAAGCAGATCATCCCTATCATCTAGGTTTTTAATTCTATGCTCTCGTAACCCTAATTCTATTCAGACCAGTCCGACTACTGATTGGCCCCATGCCCTGGATTTTAGGATTGTTGCTGGTAGACAGGGTGATGTCTTGTTTTGCTCAGGCCAGACAAATAGGACTGTAGTGGTTCCTGAGGGACTGAGAGCAGGAAAAGGAGTCAGGCAAGTACTGATGGCAGGGTGGTGGCAGCAGACTGACTGACCTGTGCCTCACATCTTGTTCTTAAGGGAGAAACAAGTACTTTTACTTTGTGCTGGATCTTGTCCTTAGGATTATGAAATATCAGCAAAAGCTCATTATATGTTGCTCTTTCTCTCAGACACACCTGGGTTTCTGCATAGAAATTTATATTTGTGCAGAAGTGTTATTCATCAATCATAACAGTTTAGAATGCCCATGGCAGGGAGGTTGGAACTAGGTGAACTTTAAGGTCCTTTCCAACCTAAAGCATTCTGTAATTCTGTGAAACAGAGATCCTTCAATTGCTAGCTGTTTGCAGCAGTAAGGGGAATACTGTGGTGGTTTTAACCCTTACCCAGATGTGGAACAAACCCCATATTTTATATCCTGATATTGAAAGGGTCTTCATGCTAACCTGTTGTATTTCAACAGGGAGTGATTTTGGCCAAGAAAAACTTCAAATAAATTTGCCTTTTAAATAACCTCAACAGCAGGAGAAATCACTTTGTCACTCTCAGTAACCTCATTTAGGTAACAGGCTTAGCAGATGACCAGTACCTTTTAAGGTATGAACTGCTGAGGTCTGTTTTACTACCCATTGTCTTGAATAAGCACAGTCCTATTTTGTTACTGTCATTGATCCAACCTTGATCCCTCTGCCCACATAAGCATGCAGAGTTTTGCCATTCAAGGTCATAATTTGGAATGTTGGTCTGTATCTGAAGGGAGGATTTTTTCCAGATTGGTTGTATCAAGGGCACCGTTCTTTTCTTATTCTACCACCCCTTCCTCCCAAGGAAAAAAGGCTGGATGGACACATGCCAGATGCTGTGTCAGCAGCTGAATTATTTTTATCTTGGAAAACCTTCAGCTACATTCAGGTATAGAAATGCATTCTGATGATAAGCCTAGGAAGGTTTAGTCTTAAACACTGCACTAGGACTAAATACCCCAAGAATCATAGCTATGTCCTATGGAGTGATGACTCGCTTCTCTGGATATTTTATCTTAAGCAGCAATGTGGCCTTCACTATTTTATTGTACCTGATATTCCATATGAGGGAAGTTCTGTTCTTATTGTGGCATTTTGAGTTTAGAGGCACAAGTTGAACCGATGCTGAATTTTTTGGCACCTGTCTTTTGTAGATCTTGGTCACCGCATGGAGTTTGCAGCCCAAGGGGAAAGACATAATATCCTCCTGTGTGGGTTAAAGAGAGATTGTGACACTTGAATCAAATCTTCCAATACCTAAAGGGGCTGACAAGAAATCTGGAGAGGGTGTTTGACAAGGGTCTGTAGGGACACGACAAGGGGCAATGGCTTTACCCTGACAGAGGGGAGAGTGAGATGAGCTCTTAGGTTCTTCCCTGTGAGGGTGGTGAGGCACTGGCACAGGCTGGCCAGAGAAGCTGTGGCTGCCCCATCCCTGGCAGTGTTCAAGGCCAGGCTGGACGGAGCTTGGAGCAACCTGGTCTAGTGGAAGGTGTCCCTGCCCATGGCAGGGGGTTGCAGCTGGATGAGTTTTGAGGTGCCTTCCAACCCAAACCATTCTATGAAAAACCAAACAAATAAGAATGACCGACATCCATGTAACTGGTGCTTTGATCCTTGCTGAGGTTCAGCTTGGAATTTGAAGTCCCAGACTGTTGGAGCTAGAGGCATAAGCTATTTCTGTCAAAACCCAAGCTGATATCAGGCCACTTTCAACACAAGTGGTGGAGAAGCATTGCTTTTGTACAACTGCTTAGTGGTTCAGGCATTCACTCAAGAGAATTCAGCTTCTATTTCAACACAAGCGAATTCAAACTGCTATTACATCTTTGAGGGCGTTCGTAATCAATAAGCTACAGGATGTTCTGGTAGTATTTTAGGGAGCTGCTCTTAGTCCTGTTGAAGTTAGTCCTCTTTGCAGTACATTACACAGAATTCAGTTGCATGCATAGAATAGAAAGAGAGCACAATCTGACCTAATGTTTAGGACATCTGCTTGGTCATGTACTGTACGAGAGGGGATGGAGGGCTGAAACAGATAGATCGTCCACCTTTAATTATTTGTACGTATGAGTTTTTCTCTTCCATCATGGTGTATATATGCTTCCACTTTGAATTTGTGGATGCCTTTTCCCTGCAACTTGTTTACTGATTATTCTGCAGAAGAGCCTGTGTCTAGTGCGTAGACTAGAAGCAGCAATGTGAACGTGTTCTAATACTGTTTTAGCATGTTTCAAGCCACTTGCAGAGTGGTGCTGGGTTCAGGAGCTTTTTCAGTGCCAGGTGGGACCTATCCTGAGCCTGATTCTTAAAAGCATATGGGCACTGCAGGTGGTATTCATTGCAATACTCATTTTTTTAATGTCCTACCTGAGAAATGTGGCATCAGTGATAACTTCTTAATATTTTGACACATTTTTTTTGTTCTTGATATGGTTTTACATGTGTCAGCTGGATTTCACAGTAACTGCAGGTTTTGTGCCTTAAGGCCATATAAGGGCAATGTGTTATTTAAAATGCTGTGCGATTTATAAAAAGCATTTTTCATAGTTTTTCAGTAGTTCCCAAAGAAAGGTCTGAGGGTTTTAGAATCAAGCCCATTGTAAATGCTACTGGGAAACCTCAGGTCGATGAATCATGGCAGTATCATTCCTATTTTATTGTTGCCGATACACACACTCCATTCATTTTTCCATATATTCCTTTTGTTGTGTACAACAGTATCCTACTGCTGCACTGGTGCTTTTGTCTAATTTGAAAACACCACCAATAAACCAGACCCATATTTAGATAGCATTGTTTTGGAAATATTTAACTTTGTTACCAGAGAAACTTCTGTCAAATAGATAGCAAGATAGTGATTCCTAACATACAAAAGGGTATTTCTTAGTTAGTCTGAAGAAGTTGTGTGTATTTGGCTACCAAGTTTGCTTTAGTTATTTAAGACAGAGGTCATTGTCTATTAGGAGTCCATGAATATGGTTGAATTGTTTGTGCAGGGTGCAAGAAGGAAGATACTGTTCCAGGAGCAGAGTCCGTTGCTATGTTATTGTGAAAGCCACTGAAGGAGATCATGGATTTATTTTTATTGCTGCTATGTTGTATTCTCTAGCTTCTTGAATTTTATTCTCTGGAGAACCTAAATAATGAGTACTGTTTGTATCCTAAGTAACTGTGGCAGTCCTAAAAGCACCGAGACCTTACTAACTCATTGGCCCCACAGTTTCCACTAGAACACTTCAAGTTCACAGGCATCTGTTTAACCTGGTATTCAAGAATGTGTATTCACCAATTGCCTACAGCTGTCCTTAATATTTGGCAGAGAGGCATGGGGGATGACTTGTGATTTCGCTGCAAACTTCTTTGCAATATTAATTTGCTTGAAGTTACGCAGCATACACTTTCCTTCTATATAGAAAAGAGCATGGTCAGCAGTTGAGGGAGGGGATTCTGCCCCTTCTGCTGCACTCTGGGGAGACCTCCCTGCAGTCCTGCGTCCAGCTCTGGGGCAACAGCACAAGAGGGACGTGGAGCTCTTGGAGCAAGTCCTGTTGAAGAGGGGCTTTGGACAAGGGCCTGGAGGGACTGAACAAGGGGCAATAACTTTAACTTGACAGAGGGGAGATTGAGATGAGCTTTTAGGCAGAAGTTCTTCCCTGTGTGGGTGGTGAGGTGCTGGCACAGGTTGCCCAGAGAAG